AAACTAATGCTTATTGACGATGACTTTAAACCCTTAATTCAATCTAGTAGTTCCTGTTCCTGTTAATGTCGATTAAGAATTACCACCTATCCATAATTATGCTAGACATATGCCATTCTACTTCTATTAATTCTATACATTTAGAAGAAAAAATGACTGAAAAAAGACCCCGCATCTACGATCTAAAACATTAAAAATATAACTTATTCAGTGGAATTCATAACAGTAAGAATATAATATTTTAATAATTTATGATTTAGGTAAATGATTAATAAAAATTATAATGGAAAATAATTGCAAAATTATCATATCTTGAAAACCAGATCAGTCAATAAACTAAAAATATTCGGAGGTCCAGATGAACGCACTTTGTCAAGAATACTCTGCCATTATGGCCATGATAATTTCTTCCGTCCGACAGTGGGCTTTGTACATTGCTAAAAAATTCGCCAGCATCGTTAGTGAACTATACCACTCTTAGACCAAAACTACAATTAGTCAAAAGACAAGTAAAGTAGCTGTAGTTGCCGCTAAAAATAATAAGGCTCAATGGCGATGCAGAATAAACGCCTGGGAATGTACTAATTCCACGGCCCGAAGCTTGAAGATTATCATATTTACTGTGTTATGGGACACAAGAGGAGGTGAGTTCACTTAGGTTTCTATACAAATACGAGTTCAAACCCCTTCTAAATAATGAAAGGAGATCGTGAGCATAGTAAAAGGACACATGATCCTGGTCTTCATACCTCCGATCAAAAATAGTCCATTAACCCAGTGATTCCTAAACTGTGCACCGCGGTACCCCGAGGAGCCGCGGCCTCTTTACAGGGGCGCCGCGAAATATTGTGAAAGCTTCAATTTGAGAAAATGTGCAGTAATTTGCAGGCTCATTCAGCACATTAATTATTAAATATTAATTTAATATTAATAAAGTAAAAAATGAAGTTACACGAGTTTTATTTATTTTTATCTCTTACTTACGAATAGTCATACTTGGGGTAGGGCACCATGGAAACATTTTAATGAAAAAGGGCGCTGCGACTAGGAAAAGTTTGGGAACCACTACATTAACCTATTGATTCTTTCCAGTAGTTTCATTTATTCAACCCATAACGGAAAAGGATCGCGACTTAGGTTTTTTAATAAATTCGAAAAGTTGCGGCCAATTCGCCAGACTTTAAAAAAAATGTAGGGATTAAAATATTAAGTGAATAGAGTCAGCTTAATATATAAATCGTTATATTTGAGATGATAGCCAAAACAAATTACAATTGTTTAAGTTTGGTATCCAGAATTTACCGCAAGTTGAATCCTCTTTAGCTTGCATTGACTATGTTAAAAAAGCTAATGTAATGCTATTTCCAGCCGTCAATCAGTATATTCAATCTATTGCGGTATACAGAAGCTATAGAAGTCCTAACAAAATACGTTTTTATAAAACCATACATTATGTATTCCTAATGAGTAGATCGCGAAACTACAAGTAGATCTTGAATAAGAGTTTTATCCGCTTTAGGTATTCAGCTTAGGACTGACAGTCGCATTTTTCTCGATCTATCTATCACTCTATCTAAATCACTTAGGCGTAATTAGCAACTCTAACGAAAATCGAATAACGGTTAGCACAACGTATAATTTCAGCATGCTACCACAACATCCTACTGCCATGGGTGCCAGTGAGTCACAGGGCAGGCATGAAACGCAAGACACGACAGGCCAACATCATATCACACTTTTATTTGGTTTATCGAATAAGTAAATGTATTATAATGAATAGGTTTCGAAACTAGCAGTAAATATGGAGAGGACTTATCAATCATTCCATCAAACCGATTGAGGGATACTAAAGTTATAAATATTTTAGCTGAAATAAGTATTGTCAAAGCCATATGTTAAGTATTTTAAAAAACTCGCCTGAAACCCAAGCTCGCCGACAGGCTTTCTATTATAAACAGGCTCCAGGAGCTTATACTCGAGTTCAGCTCGTTTGCTTGCAGAAGGTCTTCGAGACGCCGCCAATTCTGCTGTTCTTGTAGTACCTGTGCAAATACCGGATACTGATCCAGATAAGCTCCTCAAGCCTGATTTAACAGAAGATTTTGAGCAAGATTGTACTTGTCCTATTGAGATAACAGGAGAAGGGCCGAGCATAAAGGCAAAGGGCATAAGACGCGACGAAGACGTGCTGCTAATGCCTGATACCTTCGGCTTGTCAGATTGGTTATAAACTTGCAGACTAGCGAGTGCTAAAAAGCTGGATCGATCGAGGACAGCAGATAATTGTTCGTTAGAGTGAATAATCAAGGAAAATGCTCCTTTGGCATCGTATGCACCATCGGTAGGTTCATCTGCTTCATTAAAAGCTTCCGGATCTCGAAGCCCGGCTGACAATTCATCGGGTAAATCGGTAGAATGGAGACGGTTAAATACGGAATTAGACACAGTACCAGTAGAGATAGGAACCGAATTCACGGGTCCGACATCGCTAGGTACCTCGAGATGAACAGGTTGACGTAATTCCCAACCTCGATAAGTAAGACAGTGAGGTCGCCAACAATGCTGACTGCTTCGAGAACCAAGAAGTTCATCCTAGTATGAAAATAAACGAGGCAAACAGAAAAAAAGTCATAATGAAAAAGCTCGGTAGAAGTTTAATGGAATATAGTGAAATTATAGTGCAAAAGCCGAAAATGAAATGATATGATAGGCAAACATTTTGAGAGCAGAAACACAGTTTATAAAGGAATATATTTAAAACGTTTAATATGATCAAACTCCCTTTTGAAGGGTTATACCTTTGAAACCGTTCTGAAACCAGTATAAAATATAAAAAACTGGAGAATGTGGTGTTGAATACATTTAGAGATAAAAAATTTGGTTAGAATATAGATTAAGTTTGAATGTATTTGCGTGACAAAAGTATATGAGCAGGAGGATGGCGAAAAAGGGGGCCGAGATAGCTTGCTAGTAGTGAATTTAACAAGAGAGACGCTAATGAATAAAACGCTGCAGAGACCAAAAATGGATTAGTGGTGTTGATTTTAAGTCAGTGGTACGGCAAAGAAATTACTTCTGTGGAACAAGTGTATTCATGTAGATATGTGCCTATCGAAACAGTTAATGGACGACTTTGTTTGGGATATAGACGCTAGCTAACTGCGATCCTCTTTACGTGGAAGTCGAAACGACTTGTACCTTCGCAGATGAAGAAGAGGGAAGTAGCGATGTGCAGAAACATTTTTCATCATTTAGGAGAGTGTCTGGTGCATTTGATGATACAAAGCTGTCTCAGCGATATAATCCGGGTTGTAGATGAAACGAGATTAAAGACTTTGCAAAATTTGACTATGGAGCAGATCCTCTGAGGTAGGAGCATAGTGAGTAGTGATGATGCTCAATAGCTAAAGCCGGTATCTTTGAGGAATAGACGGCTCTGGAGAAGCTGCGGAGTCAATAGTGCTTTTGGCATAAACTTATGCATGGTCAGAATGTCAAATTATAGTGAGTTCGAGAAATATTATTGGTCGGAAAAAAAGAAGATGGATTGAAGATTATCTTTAAGTAAAGTGATGGGACTAACAGTTGAACTGGGAAAGAGTAGGAATAGGTCCCTGTAGTTCATAAATCTGTAATAAAAATTTTAACTGAACCCATGAATTCATTTTACTCTTTCAAAGGAAGTTTTGGGCTCATAGAATTAAGAAAAAGATAAAACGAAAGTAAAACAAATGAATTCAGGTATTTTCAAAAGATTATGGTGCAATTCTGCTGGGGAGAATTGTTTGGCCTATATATTACAAACGTAGGAAAAATGGAAGCCGACGCAAAGATAAAATTAGTAATCAAAAAGAGACAACATGGTAATAAAAATAGGGAGTTGAGCTCAATACAGTGTTGATAATAATCCCGACTTAAGCGCTAAATAAACAATAAATAAAAATGAAAAA